GAAACTTCTGAACCTCGAATTGTTCATTCGCAACGCCCTTACTTCTTCATAGAATTTTTTTTAGTTTCTATGTTTTCATTGTTGTCCAGGATTTGGGCCCTGGCCCCCCCTCCCTCTAGGCTAGGGCTAAACCCTAATTTAGGGTTTATGCGAAGACCCAGAACCTTCTGCCTGTCCATCGGAAGGGCTCAAGGTCGCCATGCTCGACAGTCAAAGCTTCAATCAATGACCATGGCTCAGCAAGCAGGCTCAATTTCTTTTAGTACACACGACGGATGATATCTGATTCTGGTTGAAACATGCAAACTTACACCACCTGACGGCGCACCTTCCTTGATCTTCAAAAGCCTTGGGCCTCAGGCCCTGCAGACAAGGTCGATCTTGTCGTCTCAAGCCTGGTGCATTCACACTCCTCCTTGGGGCCTTCGAAAGAAGGCACCACTCTACAAAGAATGCTTGTCAGGTTGTTCAAAAGTCTTCTCAAATTCCATGGGCGAGATGGCTTGATTAAGCCCCGCTCCCCATACAGTATCTGCAAAGTGGCGCTTCCCTCGAGGAAGCTGCCTGCCCTACTGCAGGGCAATGTTCGGAAAGGTGATAGGAATATCCCGATGTTACTATTACAGAAGGGGGATAGTGCACACGCTCCTGCACTACAACCCTGGGGTACTCTACACCATCCATTTGAACCTGAGCATCCCTAAAAAAGGACGCCTGCGCTCGGCTCGCTTGCACTTGTCGTCTTCTGGGTTGGGGACTTAAGTGGGATGAGGCTACAGGGTCAAGGTGAGCCTGTGCTTGAGGTGCTTCAGGTTGGGTCGTAACGTCATCTTGAAAGGAAGAAACCCTAGAGGCTACAGGGGACCTAGAAACCTTAAGGGCTACAGGGACCCAGAAACCCTAGCTATCGGGATGGGGGTTGCTGCCGCGTTGGAGACGCCTACTGTCTCCTCCTGGGTTGAAGACTGAGCAACAGACGAGTCGTTATCGGCTGCTTGCAGTTGCAGCTCTAGCTCTCTCTGCATAGCTTCTTGCAGCTTGCGAAGCCTCAAAGCCCTTCGGCTAGGCAGCATGTCAAGCCTAGGCAACACAAACCACCCTACCAACGCCTTAATCCCTTCCCACAACGCTAACGCTGACAAAGCCACTAAAGCTCCAAACAGATACAGGCTAAAATCCGACTGAATCCCTAACTCTTCTTCCTCAAACTGCTGGGCCCTACCCTGATGAACAGATAGCAAGAAAACCAGAGCTACTAATGCCCTACGAACTTGGGGAGTAGGTTCTAACTCTGGCACGTTTGCGACGCTGTCCAACATGGACCAAAGCTGAGCGAGCTCCCGAATCCTTGACCCAGACAAAGCCTTGGTTAGGAGGTCCGCCAGCTGCAGTGCTCCTGGACGGTGCAACAAACGCATGGATCCGTTTTGAAGCTGCTCAGTTAACCATGTGGCCCTCACCTTGAGGTGCCTGGTTCTAAATGAACAACTACCAGTTTGAATAGCTACTGCTGAAGTGCTGTCGGAGTAAATGAGCTTATATGTGTAAGGACTCCAGAAGTGCTTCAGTAGCTATCAAGGCCAATGCGGTTTCTTGCAACGCTATCATTTCTGCCTCTGCAGTAGACAGGGTAGTCAGAGTTTGGCGAGAACTGCGCCAAGCTATGGGACAGTTTCGGTACAGCACTGCCCATCCTGTATGGCTCCGGCCTCCCTCAGGAGCGAAGGAGGCATCTCCGTATCCGGTCAACGTGGACGCAGCCGGCATGAATCTCAACGTCCACTCCGGAGTATCCCCGAGGTAAAGGAACGCCCTCTGAGCGATTCGCGCTGATCTTAGTGGGGCCCTTGTGGACAGACTGCTTGCTAAGGTGGAGGCGTATGCAACATCCGGTCTTGAGCGTTGAGCCACCCATAACAGTTCTCCTGCTAGTTGTTGGGCGGACAAGACACCCTCAGGACTTGGTTCAACATCATCTGCCTTGAGCTCAAACACGGCATCTTCCTTGGCTATCGGAGTTTTGGCATGCCCATCCCAGCCATGTGCTCGGATGACTTCCTCAACGTACCCTTTCTGACTCAAGGAAAAACCATCCTCCACAACCGCCACGTCTAGGCCCAAGAACCTAATAGGTTCTGAGGAAGAGAGGATACACAGCTCAGACGTCTTCCATGTCTCCTTGAGAGCCTTTGCCACGGCCAGTAAAACCTTCCTAGTGGCGGCTATGAGAATGTCGTCCACATATACAAGGATGTAGGCAATGCAGACATCCTGATCTTGACGATCCGTGCTAATCTCCAAGACCATCCATAAGTTAGACTCTACGGATGTCTGTTTCAAGTATGCTTCGCCTTGGTCTAGCTTCACCCGCAAGGCTTGCAAGAGGCCATCACGATAGATAGCCCAGAGGCGTGGTGATTCGCGTAGCCCATACAAGGCTCTCACGAGCCGCCAAATCTCCTGCTCTGCTGTCAAGTGGAGTTTGCGAAGTATGCCAGGCGGTGATGCTATGATCGGAGGAAGATCTGGAGAAATTGGAGTCTCAAGGAATGCCGCTACTATGTCGAGGGTGCCAGCAACCATTGGCGATACACAGATTCTGCCAGGACTATCCTAAATGCTTCTGGGGCCGAACCAGAGGCGTAAGCCTCCAAGTCGGACCTTGGCGCATAGTTGCCACATCCTACGATGCGAGCCTTGCGACGGAAGAAACCGTCTGGAATCGTTGCCGGACTGCCTTGAGCATCGCCTGAGGTTGCCCCTTGCGTCGGAGGCTTGAGCGTATACACAAGCTTGGCAGGAATCCTGATGGCAGTAGGATCTGACACCAACTCACGGTACCCTTCATCCCCAGGCTTAAACCTCTGGATAGCAACTTCGACAGTTTGCATCTCCTTAGAGATTGCGGGCCGCCATCGTTCGGGGTACTGAGCTACGTCCTTTGGACTAACTGTGTGAACAACTTGAAGAGGCTCTTGTACTGCAGCAAACATCTCCTCCGGTGCTTCAACATAAGTGGGCTTTGCCTTGCACAGCTGAGGCATCACGCCAACACGAGGAGACACGGAAGCAAGGTATACCTCCATTTCTTCAGTCACCCGTATCTTGAGCATATCTGCCATACTAGGAGCAACATAAGACGGCTCGAGCTCATCATCGTTAAAATCTTGAAGACGTGACTGACAGCCTTCAAGAGCCGAAGGATTGGGATTTGTACTCCATCCCTGCGGTAAGGCCGGAAGCGGCCCCTTGACCATTATTGGATTCGCCCTCCTCCTGGGACCTTCCGTTCGTTCAGAATGGGGGCGACGCGGACCACTGGAAGCGGGGCTGCCTTCACCAGCACCCCGGATCTTGAGATCCCAATGCTCATTAAATTCAACCTCCCCGTTTCCAACTACAACCGTCTCTGACCAACCCCCTTTTCGCATCTGAGATCGTGTGTCTTCAGACGGACTCCTTTGATTGCCTTCACGGCTGGACAAGGGCGGAGATGCTGTTTCAACAGGGCCTTGGACTGCTTGGTTAGGGGAGGAATTCGCAGTATGATGCGCTTCTGGCAGCACAACATGCACAGGAAACATCCTGACATTAGATTGACTCAGATGAAAAATGTTCTCTCTTGCAGCTCCGAGGTCCTCAGGAACGTTGAAGCCAAATTCTTGTAACCACTCCACATCACGACTTACAGTATTCACTGTGTATCCTACCAACACAACTCTGTCTCCTTCCCACGCCGTAACCCCATGCCGTTGATGCGGATCAAGATAGCTAGGCACCAACGCTTGAAGCCTACTCACTGTGCCATAGAACGTAGATCCTCTAGCATCAGTCATTGGCTGTATGCCTCCCTGCACAACATCTCCATTGCGCAGCTCCTTCCAATGATGTCCTCCCTTCAGAGGAAGCTTGAGAGGTAGAATGACGTTGCTAGCGAACGGATCGTTATGGGCATCGTAGTGAGCTAAGCTAGGTCTGGTACCTACTACTAAAGACGTGTACGTTGCGTCTGGCGCGTACTGCTGCATCATGCGGCACAAAAGGCGGGTGTAGTTAGGCATAAGGTGAGTTTGCCTAAACTTCTCTAGCACACCTCCATACCTACACAACCCGACCTTTACGCTTGGTCCTTATCAGCTAGAGCCCATTCTACAATTAGCTTTCTTGCCTTTGCAGGGGACCATTTACGCAAAATTTCCGCTGCACTTGCCTCTACAGCATGTGCATCCAACACAGAGGAAGCGTGCAATTCAGGCATGGGCTGCTTTCCCCTTACCCTTCTTGATGTGACTACATCTGCCTCTAAGGGAGGGAAGAGTCCTCCCCAGGCGGAATCAACGTCAGACCTTTGGCTGTGATGCTTAGGCATTTTGCAAGAACGGATGTGCCTAACGGCGCAAGAAGAGAAGTAGACATGTTCAACTGACGGCTTCTCTGAAGAGTACAAGCAGTGATCGCCGCCTGAGGCCAGAGCTCCAAAGGCAGTTCCGAGCCCGCCAAAAGAGCCCTCGCGTTAGACTTCACAAGGCGAACTCCGGCTTCTGCAGCACCATTCGAGCGAGGGTCGCCTGGTATGCCATATGTTGGCAGCACCCCTTGTTGTAGGAGCCATGCTCTGGTGGATCTACTGAGAAATTCCTTAGAGCGGTCACTGTGGACTCTTCTAAGCGGCATGTTATGCATTCTCAACCATAAGGTGAACTCCTGAATTGCTGCAAGCACTTCGTTTGATCGATTCGTGTATATGGGACTTGCGAACAGGAGAATCTCGGTGCTAAGCGGTGCCTTGAGCTCTGACGCTATTCGGTCCAAGAGAGCTGCCTCAGCGTCCTGCTCTCCAGGAGGCTCAGCTCCTACTGGTTCCGAATCATCCTCCTCAAGGTTGCGTACAACAGCTACAGACCCAACGGCCCGCTCTACTTCCCCTTCTGACGGAGAATGCCCATCCATGTCAGTATCTTCTGCCGACTCTAAGCCTTCACCGGATATGCACACACCTTCGTCCGGGGGTGCTACAAGTGGAGGCAAAGGAGGCTCATGTTCAGTTTGTAGGTAAGGTGACACTGGATCATCAACAGCAGCGGACAATTCCTCTTCAGAAGCATTGTCCTTGAGCCCTTCAAGCTTGGGGTACCTATAGACTCCTACCACCAAACGCTTGAAAGGTAACGGCGCTCGTCCCCTACCATCAGGATCCGCTCCAGGAACTCTTATAGGTCCTGCTACATCTACGTGAAGGCAGTCTACACTGGGATGCTGAGCACGCCTATGCTGACGACCCGACGACTTCCCCATTATGCACGCTCTACACCCCTTATAAAAGGTTTGATGGCCTGCTTTAAGATGCTCTCTCCATGCTTGAGGACTCATGGGCGCTAATCGCACGTACCTATGATGTGCGGCCATTGCCCTGGCAAGAAGGTCTCGGAACTCCTCTGTCCACGCAGGTGCATGAAAGAGACGAGAGGTGCGGTCTTCTTGTTGGCGTCTGGCCTGATCTAAGACGACCCCTAAATTGGTTCCTACAGTTCATGAATGGCTGTGGTCTGAGCTGCTACCGGGAGTAAAAATCTGCACCTTAGCCAGCCCAGCTTCCTGCTTGTAAATGCTCCAGAGCTCAGAAGCCCAGAAACCTCCCATGGTATGCTCAAGAATATGAGATGTGGGGTGCTTAAACTCAGGGTACTGAACCAAAAAACCCACTTCGGCTGTGCGATGCCTCGTGTCTGGGTGCGCCTTTCTCCCGGAAGTGGCTAAAGCATGAAGAACTACCATGCGTGTAATGAGATCAATCTCCATGTTGTGCTTGGCATCATCCCATCTTTCCGGGACTTCAAGGGCTTGCATCAGAGCTGCGCGTGGCGGTGCGCCTATGATGTGCGAGATCTTACCAGCTCTGGCTGCCCATACTACTGCGTCCCAAGTAGGGCCAACACTCACACTTTCTGTGACGCATTTTCTGATATCTAAGGAGAGAAGCACACAGTCTTCTGGCACTTGGACGTCGGGAGTATCCTTGCTACCAGAAAACAAGTGCAGCACCACATTTTTTGCTGAATGTAGGCGCTTGCGAAACTGTCTGCTGTATGCATGGAGGCCTCGCAACAAACTCCAGCCCTTCTTGTGCTCTTGGTCCGGCAACATCCCAACCGACTCATCCCGTGCTAGGAATGGAGCTTCCTGTAGCGCAATGGCTGCGTCTGCGGCTCTACCAGAGACTGCGTACGTCTCAAGCCACTGAAACCAGGTCCTTGTGATTCGAGCCTTAGATACCTCCACAGCATGCTGAGTTTTCACACACGCGGCTTCTAATGTTTGGACTGATGCCTGAAGATTCCTTTCCTCAAGCCGCACAATGAGACTTAAGGCCTCATTGACACTTAGATGCGGGCACCCTTTTGAAACAGAAAGATGATGCTTCTTTCCACTCGGAGAGGTCAGCGTGCAGGCTTCAGCCGTCCAGTTTAGCTTGTAGCCTAATTTTTGGATAATCTGACCAAGAGGCAGAATAACCTCAGGACCGTGCGAGTTCCCTGTGCCCTCATCTGTAGGATTAGGGTGTAACAAGCTTCCTCCTGAGGATATCTTTAGGATGGTTTCTTGAGATCCAGCAAGCTGAACCGGAACCGACACAGCCTCTACCCACTCTTGACTCGACTTGGGTGGTCGCAAGGCATGTGTGGCCCCGCTGTCGGCCAACGCTGACTCCTCCTGTTTCTTAGACGAAGAAGTCGTGCCGAGTTGCAACACATTCAAGGAAGGGGAATTTCTTTGCTGAGTATTCAAAGCAAGGCCTGCCTCGCAAATCAACGCATCTAGAAGCGTTGCACCTACCCCGGAGTTGGTTGCTTGACCTGGCGTTGTTGGTGCTTGAGCGATAGCTGTCGCAGCTAAGCTGGGAGCTGTATTACCTGATATTGCACCTTGAATGCCAGGATTCTGCGCCGAAACACCTGAAGATGCTGCGGCACTGGGAGCTTGACCTATGTGAGGGACTGTGTACGGCACCTGACTCACCTCCTCTGAAATCCCAGAACGCAAAGCCTGAAGGCTGGATGCACCTGGAGAGACTGGTGACGTCGCTGATCCTTGGGATCCAAGGGATCCAGGATCTGTACCATCCCCTCTCTTGTTTCCCTTGTTAGAAGACGCCAGAGGACACTCCTTTGCCCTATGACTCTCGCTTCCACACTTCAAGCATTTCTTGCTCCGGGTGGGCTTGTCAAGTCCAGACATATCGTGCACAAAGGCGCATTTAGGTTTCTTGCATCCCTTTTCTGACAAGGAATACTTGCATAAGGGCTTTGAAGCTGATTTAGGAGTTGGAGTTGGGGTATTCAAGGCCTTTAGCTGCAAACCTGCTGCGTGGCCCTGATGAGTGACCAATGCGTCAACTTCGGCCAACGCGTGCCTATGGTAAGCAAGCAGTCTATCCATCGTTGGATTTTGATCCAACCTCAATGCTTGTCTTGCCACGGTAAGCTTAAAGGCTAAATCCTGATTTGAACCCATTAGGACGCTGAGGATGGCCGTCAACGACCGGGCTAGGATACTTGGATCTGGTAGAACCAATCCTACCGCCCGTGCCCTAGCTTCCCACCTTGACCAGTTGC